CGCCAAAACAAGGGAAGAGATTTGCAGCAACGCTTTATTTCCTACTGTAAGCGGTAAGGGCACAGAGAGCCCGTACATCTGATCTGCTGTGTGCTCACCCCAGACGTGCAGTCCTCGTTCTGAAAAAGTAAACGTAGCTTGGCCTTGACTGCCTCAACCAGAAGATGAAAAAACGTACGATACGCATTATCACATGTGATCTAAATGACTCCAGAGCAATAGGGAGGCCCGTAATCATTTCTGATGGATGAGGCACATTCGTTTTCCATACTGCCACTCCGGTGCTTTGAGATACAGCTTAAGAGTCTGTTAAACCAGACCAAAACAAAAAACCCAACCCAAACCCACCCCAAACACATGCTCATCTCTGTTTATGAAGATGACACACAACTTCCAGCTTTTTATGGAAAAATATGTTAACTGCCAAATACGAAATATAGCGGCCCGTTTCCTTCATGCCAGCAGCAGAGAAACAGAGACCTGTGGAGCACGCCGGGCTCTTCGAAGCAGCCCGCAGGTTGACGTGATAAGATATCATCTCAAGCACTTCTGCAGAAACAGTCTCTTTAATAAAAACGAGGCTTCTTCCAGACCAAGCCAGATGATCTCTCGATTGAGTGGACTGGCATATTGAATTCTAGCCCATTCCAGTTCCTCAGGAAGGTGCTGCTACTCCCCTTATGTCTCGTTACCAGACTCTCACTATTTAGGCATTTTTTTTTTCCTCAGTATGACATTACTTGTAAAAATAAATACAGAATGCAACTGAAATGCTATTTTCATATCGAAGTTCCTAATATAATTCTCTTGGATGAAGAAGAACCAAGTTCCTCCAAATTTTATTCTGTACACTAAGACCACAGACAAGCTGATCGGAAGTCGAAGTCTCCCCACGCCTACCATACTCATCTTTTAGTTACAGGGGAAAAAACACAGAACAAACCAAAACACTGACAGGAATACAGCTGCACTTTTGAAAAGGAAAAACAAAACAACAGTTATAGCTTATTTTTAAAACAGCCTGAGCTTTTTCAGTTTATTATACATGGTGGTCTTGTAGGTAAAAAAACCAAACAAGGTCTGCAGGGCAAAATAAAGTTAGCTAGTAAGTTTGCTCAGGTTAAAAAAAAAAGCTAATATTTAGACCAAGGTAATCGGCAAAACATGTGCTGAAGGTGTTCTGCCAGAGACAAGCACAATTGAAATTCCTTCCACAGTTGGCTGATATTGACTAAGAAGCAACAAGAATTAAACCACTACCCATTTAATGATTTAAAATCCGGATTGGGATGCCACTGGAAGAGCCTGCCTTGGAACAGCAGCAGTGTATCATCATGCGTCTATGTTAGGGCAACAGCAGACTTTCACTGCTTTCTTTGAACACTGTCTTCCCTGTACTTACTCTGCATTCAAAGTTCATTCAAGCATTTATCTTACTACAGCAGTAAAGGTTTTTACTTTTATTGATCTGACCCGAGAATGAATTATGGTGGAGGAGGCAGCTCGTCAGTGTGGTGTTACTTGGGAGAGAAATGAGGTGACCTAACATGGTCACGAGAAAAAGATGGGGGGGAAAAAAAGAAAAAGCCTTTCATGTATTACAAACACTTAGTCTAGTTCACAGATGACTGCCTAATATAATTGATCATGAAGGCTGGCATCACTAAAACAGAAGCAGTCAAGCTTTAAAAGTAGAATAGTAATGTAACAGAAATTTAACAGAAGAGCCATTCTTACTTTCAGGTACCAGCCAAAAAAGTGAGCAGGAACAAATCCATCCAGTTTGTCCTATAAAGCAAGGAGAGAGTGTAGGTCACTTTGCACTACAAACAATAACCCATTAAGGCTCCCCCTACCCCACCCCCCCAAGAAAAACGCAGCAATAAACTTCAGTTGTTTCCCATATAAATACTAGATGCATTTTATGAGCTTATCTTAAAAGCACAGTCACAATTTTAAGGGGCAGACACTGGAATTAGGATCATATTGATAAAGCAGAGACCACCTTCTTAATGCTAAATGTCGTGTCCCTTGCCTTCCAAGGGGACAGAAGCAGAACACGCTCGAGCCAGAGCAAGAACGTGTGTTTCTTCACCAGCCCCCTCCCTTGTATCTAGCAGAGCTTCTTAAATCTTACCCGCCTGCCACCATAAATCCCTGGGCAAGGAGCGCCTTTCCTCCTCCTAGTTCTGGTGCAACACTGGCAAAGGAGAGCTGTAACTGCCCTCAGTTATTCCGGTTCCTGACGCGCTGAGGGCTCACCCAGCAGACCCAAAGGATTCAGCGCTCCTCGCTACACAAGCACTAACAGCTCCATGCTGTCAGGGAGCTTTAAATAATCAGAACTCCTTCGCCCTTGAATTTCAAGTCGTCTGTTTGCCAGCGGGAAACAATAACCTGCCAGTTTCTGGGATTCAGAAAAGCGCAACTTCTGGGTTGCTGGGCAACATGCAACTTTTGAACTTTGTGCCTCAAGGTGACTGAAGGAGAAGATTCTTTAAGCACGCAAATAAACCCAAACTCCTCGGGGAAGAGGTTTACATCAATAAGCTGAGAAACAAGGATTGTTAAACAGTTTACTCTCTCTCCTGGGCGATGTAATTAGGACACAGAGAGAGACACATCTCCATCCGATCATCAGGAAAGGTCAAGAGAAGAGAAATAAGAAAGCCAGAGTCAGTCAAGACCTGTTCTCTCATTCAACACTCAAAGACTCATGACTGCACTTTGACAAGTTCAATTAAGTAACCTTTTACCAAAGAACAGTCAGACTCATTAGCAAGTAACTCTGTTTCTTACCCAGATGTTGTGAAATGGATCCGTTTCATTGCCAGGATCATAAATAAGGCAGTTGCCACCATAGTCTCTCTCCGGCAAAGGAACACCTAAATGCGGATCGATGTACTTCATAAACTGCCTGCCATCTTGTACAGTCTGCAAAAGGAACACAAACCCCATGTTTCCCTCTTAATAAGTACTAATGCACAGAAAAGTACAAAGATAATTAAGATCAATGTTATATCCTCAAATTTTTTTTTTTTTTTTTTAAATGTGTTGCAGAACAATTCTTGAAACCTACCCAGACCTCAAAGCATCACACAGCATATCGACCTGACTTTCTGGGCCTCTAACGTTAAATATTAAGGGAAAACATGACTACAGAATGAACTTAAGATTTCTTAAAGATGAAAAATCAGAGCTCTTCACCTCCGTGCCCTCAGCCACTCCTCGACGCCCCCTCCCAAACGCTGAGCGCTCCAACTGGCACACATCCCAGTGTGCCATCCCATCCTCCCCACTCACCCTCTGCCCCTACTCGAGCGTGGCAAGGGGAAAGCACAAGCCGCCAGTCACCCAGGGCTCGTTTAACGGCTGCAGCCGCCCCCTCGGGGACCTTCTGCTTTCCCGCAACGGGAAAGACCCAGCAGCACCTGAACCACACAGCTCAAAGGAAGCGCGGTGCGTGCAGAGGGCGGGAGGCTGAGCCCCGCGGCGAGCGCGCGGGTAGCGGGGTTACTCGTGCGCGTCTCGGCTCCCTTCAGCCACTGAACCTCGAGAACTGCACTGCATTTCACAGCGGAAAAAGTGTGGGGCAGCTCGTTGAATAAACGGTCATTTCAAATAAGGTCCCGCTAGCAGCACGGGCAATACACTTGAAGCAAACGGCAAGGAAGAAATGATCAAAATATTAGTTATAAGCAGTGACCAAATCTTGAACTAATTTACCAGTAACCCACAAACGCATTTGCTGAATAAGTATTTCCCGATGAAACTGCACCCTGGTGTGGTCAATGTTTTACAACAGAAGCAATGTAACATCTGTGACAGCCTAGCAGTAAAAGCAGGGCAAGGGCAAAATTAGTTCGTAGCGATAATAATAAAATTACAGAACAAAACCACTAACGTCACGTTAACTGTAAGACAAGTCTCAACTGTGAGCGAGCTTGTATTTGCTTGTAAGGAAGTTTAGTCACTTACAGACTCAGCAGAATTTTAACCTTATTTAAACCTGTGCAAAGTAATAACGTATTTTAGTAAAGAGCTGAGCAACAGCCAGTGTGAGTGTCCTTCACAACTGATCGGCTGGTAACACAACATACCGCCAGAGGAAAGCAAAGCAATTCCAGGCTTTCCTATTAGAATTCAGAACCGCAACAGCACTATCAAATAAAAGTGAAACATATTATTCAGTCTGACTGCAGCTAGTCAGGAGCACCGCTTACACGGATGCCTGGAAAAAAATCCACCAGGGTGACATGAAACAGTGAGAACATAAGAATAAATTGAAACGGAGTAAGTATCCCTCTGTGGTGAGGAATAATGACAAAAAAGGCAAGAGAGACCTGTTCATGCCTGTGAAAGGGCCAGAACTCCTCTCCCTCCAAGCAGGACAGGCAGCCTGAAAGAAACCCTAATGAGACGTCAGGGCCCTGCGTAAGGGTTTACACCGAACCCCGAGTTATGTCAACGGGACAGAAACTCATGTTGCTCTTTACTGATCTGCTGCGGACACATTCCAACCGCCCGCTGAAGTAAGCCAGGGAAAAAAGAAACAAAAACCAAAAAACAACCACCGCAGTTTTGTGTTCTTAAGAGAGCCTGGCACTGACTTCTGGGGAGGCTCCAGGAAAGGCATGCTGAACACGAAATGCTGGAGCCAAAGGAAATCTTTGATTAGCTGGAAAGGGTTCGATCAATGTTAAGAACTTGTTTGCAAAGCAAATGCCCTACTCCAACAGAAGAGAGATGACAGATCCCGACACCTCAGTTCCAGCCCCGCTTCTTGGAGCTCACTTGGCTTTTAGAGGCAAAGCATTTCTTTTTTTTTAAAACCATGTTCCTCATCCTTCTCTCATCTAAAATGATTTTTTAAAGCTACCTGATGAGTATGTGATGGTACTTGCACAACCCTTTTAAAACACAGAGCACCGAACACTACTAAGACGTCAGCGAGAAGGAGTGATCCCCAAATGAGAGAAGCGCAGAGCCACCTCTCAGCCTTTCGTATCTCTACAGTCGCTTTTAGTTTCCAATCATGCTGTTGCCCGAGGAGATGACTGCAATAATTGGATGGCACAACGCAGGAAAGGTGAGTCTCCTTCGGAATCCTGTGCTATTCCTCAGCACTCCAACTTGATTTGCAGTGGTGTAGGTACGTATGTGTATCGGAACACGACGACTTTGTTAATAGCGTCAGGCTTACCGCTCTTGCGCTCAGTATCTCAAAACAGTTTACCTCAACTGCTGCATTTCTGAGAAGTCACAGAATTGTAAGAGCCAGGGGAGAATTCTCAGTGTACTAAAGGACAAGAATATGGTAAAAATAACATGCTGTATTTGGAAATACCAATTAGCATGTCATTCTAGACAAAAACATCACCTCAGTTTGCTGCCGCTACACGAAGTTGTGTACAAAGTTTTCGTTTATTGCAAAAAAAAAAAAAAAAAAGTGTTCAAAGCACCCGTCATTCAAGGTAAAAAGTATTTCAAAAGGTTAAACAAGATGAAATCACCCCACGATCCGTAGGATCTAAGAAACTAACAGCTGGTACGTGACTTCAGCAGGTCACATCAAGTCCAGCAGAGCAGAGACTAAACATGAGAGGCACCAACTCCCGATCGTTCGATCTCAACAACTCTGACTTCTTATCAACTCATTTAAGAACTGCGGTGTCTAACCTAGGCTGATGCTAACTGCAGGTTAGACAACAAGGGAAAGTACTTTTATAGTATTATAATTTTTCCTCAACCTAGAAGGCTCATTAAATAGCACAATGATTTGATTTCACAAAAATGAAGAGCACCTCCTGTAGCCGGCGAGAATCCTCAAGAACACTACAAAGGATTATTAAACTGGTATTTAGTAACTAGAGGTCGAAGTTACTTACCTGGAAAAGTATAAAGATGAGGAAGAGCTCATACACAACGCTGACACACAGCCAAAACCTCCAGTAAGCTACAGAAACAGACAAACGGGATGTTAGCAAGCTTTCAAGCAAAACAGCGCTCAATTATTCATTTACTGTAATATAACTAAAGACTTCAAGAAGAGATGCTCCCACCAAGAAACTATACAAGCCCGCATTCAAGTGAGGTGTCCACCACCCTGCCCGAGGCTCTGTAACTGCCAGCCAGGCTGCTCTGCAGATCTGCCGGAATTGCTCAGGCAATGACCCGGACCTGTGGGAATGGGCCGGGATGCGTAAGAACGCTTCAACCCAAAGAACTAGAAGGAAAGACACGTGCCACTTGCAATGCTTTCTAACAGTTGTTGGCAGAGGACTATATCCTTCCTGAACTAGTCCAACTTCTTGCTCCACCATCCTGACCAACTTTGGGTTTCCGACTTTGGTACCCCGATCTGTCCAACTGTGGTTTTCCCATCCCTACCACCACGACCGCGCTTTGCCAGCTTCTGCCCACGTCCTGCTGCAACAGGCCAGCCCACGAGGCCAGCAGGGGGAACCGCCGCTTTTACTTCTACAAGCCCATCTTTCTCCCTGACAGCAAGGTTGTTTCCTCCTCAAGGGGCAAAAAGCATTTCAAAACACCAAAGAGATTTTCACTTTTACTAGGAATTGAATTTTAAAAAAATGTTCCAAAGGTTTAGAAGGCGCTAGCTGCAAGACCTACGAGATCACAGAACTCTTTGTAATACGAGAAACATCATGCAAAACTCAGCTGCTTCAGAGCCTGCAGTCATTATTCACCCTCCTAAGAAGTGTGATTACAGCTCTTCCCACACTGAAGCGACACCTCAATCCGAAGGGCACACAGATTAAAGTATGTGTACTCTGCCAGCTCCATCATTATCCCCTCAGCTCTTCTGAAGGACTCCGTCTCAGGGAACAGGCTCTCCAACTGTGCTGGGTACCAGCTTCGTGGTCCATGGGCGGCATTCGTGCCCCTAACCCATCCCACTCCACCCAGAGACGGGTTTGGCCTCTGTCCCCTAAAGTGATTCTGGGCTCCGAAATCTCACCCAGCCTTTCCGTGAACTCCTACAGGGGCGGAAGCAGGTGAGGGCAGAGCCAGGACGTGCACAGACACAGCGCCCCAGCATTTTTCCCTAACCACGGCCAAAAATTTACACAAGGTAATTCAGCAAAACTCGACTCACTCCGAGTGGATATTTAAATCTCTCAGTAACGCCACATACTAATCACTCTGGAATGATTTTAATCGACTTTCCTTCAGGTGCTTCCTGTTTACACTTATAAACCAGAGCTCTCCTTCCATGGTCACATCTAGGTGATAGACAGAATTGGGCCGGGGCAAGGAGGAGTCAAGCGCGTCGCCCCTACGGTTGAGCGGAGACGGCAGGCTGTGCCCCCTGCCTCAACGCCGTTTGCCATGAAGTGAAACGGCCAAGAACCTTCAGCCCTGGTTCGGGCATTTCTCTCTGTGAACTGCACGGCAACTGAGGTATGTTAATGCTTAAAAGCAGGACCGTGACGTAAATAATCCAAGAACTAAGCATAAACCCCCGGCTTGCAAACAGACTAACTCGTTCATCAGCTCAGAACCTGCAATCAAGTGGCCATGGTGTGGCAGAGCTTCAGAGAGGTTTGTTTGCCCCCTGAAACAAAGCCTTTACCCAACTCAGCATCAAGCAGGGGAAAAAAAAAATAATAAAAAGACCCACATTTTTAAAAGAAGTCTCTAACAGCCTGCTTCTGACACCATCATTAAAATAGACTGAAATGTGAGAAGGTGTGACATTTTTTCAGCAAAACTGCTAAATTAATTTCATCAAAACAGCCTACTTTACACTTCCATTAAAAAAAAAAAAAGGAAAAATGAAACAGGGCGGTGTGACCTGGATAACAGGAAGCTCAGAGCTCTAACAGCTTTCATGGGAAATATGGAACTTTTCAGATTTTTACTTAACGTCTACAAACATAATTGTCATTTCTTAATTATGCAATACAATGAAGTGTCTTCTTAGGGGTCAGTCATTAAAAACCCACGCGTTATGAGGTGGTTCTGCCCCTTGGTGTCATCGTGGGAAGGAAAAGCGGAGCTCAGCCCACCTTCTCCTCGGCGAGGCCATGACCGGTGCCCCCGGGCAGCCGTCCTTACACACAAGCGGCAGAAACCATCACTTGAGACTTCTGCCCTTCCATCAGATTTGATGGACTTTCAAATCCACTGGCAAATTCCCCTTGGAAGGGCCGACCGAGAGTGTGCGCACACCCTCCTGTCTTTCTAGAAGGCAGCTTAGGAAAACCAACAAGCAAAAAACCTTCCATTGGTCAAAGGGTCATTTGGAAGAGAGGAGCCTCTCCCCAGACCAGCAGCTCTGTGCTGCTAAAAAACACTTCAGCCTTTTGAATGCGAGCCTGCAGGACAGAAATACAGTGGTGACTTTTTTTTAAGTGATTAAAAAAAATTGGTTTGTGTTTGACAAGGTGTTTTCTATCCTTTCCTATAATGACTGTGTACCTTGAGGAGTAAGCATTATATTCAAGCCAGAAGAATTAACCTTTCATTAACACACTCCTCCCACAAGAACTGAGCATTGTTTCCTTCAAACATCACCTCCAGAACAGGAGCCCTGAAATTGCTGAGTTTTTTCTCACCTATAAAGCCTTGAATGACAGATTTTACCCTACTCGCAGACATAAACGTGGGGGACTGGTTCTGAAACTGATGTACATACAGTTCAGAAAGCAGAAAAATCCAAACCCTCATTTGAGCTTTTCTTCTCCTCTATCCATAGGGTTCTGGCAGCAGACGATCTGCAGCTGCTGAATATGCTCAGCAACACTTCATAATAAGAAAAATAAGATCTGGTTATAATTTAGTGTGCTTTCTTCTGGCTGACAGAAGTACCCACGAGGTTTTCAAGACTACTTTATATCTGTACGTGTACACCAGAAACAAGATGTTTTCAAAGCTGTACAAACATCGTGTTCTCTCTCTTCCTGGACTGGCCTCAGCTTCAGCTATCAAGTTATTTTTGGCATACCTAATATTTGTTTTCCTTAAATGCACTTGTCACCACGAACCTCCCTCAAATTACGACTATCCTCCTGATTAAGTAGGCTTCAACTACTCATTACCTACCTGATAGTTGAGCGATTACTGTGCTCCGACACTGAAGCGTTGCATTGTAGGGAGACTGGGGCACACAAGATGAACACTTAAGAGTGCGCTGCCCGGCTGAGCGCACCACCGGCCACCGCCCCGTGCATCACCGGGGCTTTGAGTCTGACCTACGCCACCCGAAAGGGTAAACGAGCAAAGAAACAAAATTCTAAGGAAAGCAAACTTATACTGAGGAGGGAGACTAAAAGCAAAACTTGTTGCTTTAACAAAGTTACTTTGCTTTGGCGAAACCAACGGTGAGTTGGCATAGGTGAGCTGTGCATAAATACATCGGGTGGATAACCACTGAGTAAGAAGAGCTATTGAAACAGAACACCACCATTAGGCACAAAACGCCGACAAAAATATAACACACCCCTGATCTGTCATAAATGGGTAGATATACTGATAACAGGGCTCCAAAGTCACCGGACAGAGGCCGGGCAGGAAACCCAGCTACCTCTAAGACACAGCTTGAAGAGTTCCCGTAACAGATCCCCTGTGGCTACATGTGACCGTAGTGTCCCGACGGACCCAAAGGCTTCCTTCGGCCCTATAAATGGAAGCGGCGCACACCGGCGGCCTGCGCTGCCAGTTCCTTTGAGATGAGATCTTTCTCCGGGAACAGCAGTGCGAAGCTAAGGTCAGAGACTCGGCTGCCTCGTGTGAACTTCCCAGTACACCCCTCCGCAACCAGAGGGCTGGCACTGAACCTGACGGGGCGGCAATGCCGTGCCCTCTGCTGCCGGCAAGAGCCTTCCCACAGCAGAGGTCCGGAGAACGACCGCCATTCTCCTTTAAACAGGCACCCAGATGGCCCGCTGTGACTGCCAGCATCCCCTCTCCTAGCGAACTGCTATAGCCCCCCAAACCTCTCTTTACAAGAGCATCCCATCAAACAAGCTAGAGGAAGGGTGACGTTAATACCAAAGACAACATGAATACACTCAGTATTTGAAGCGACTGAATACACAGGAGCGTCCTCAATCACCGCTCATGGCCGATGTGACTCTGCTGAGACACTCGGCTTTGGCCCAGTCACTGCTGTTTCCAAGACCGGAGCACACAGAGGTGGCGGACCTTGGCTCTGCCTATGCTCCAAGTTTGCTGCAGAGATCTCTGACCTCTGGACTTTCCCCCATCCAATTTGTACTACTTTGTTCTAGGGAATAAAAACGACTTCTGTCCCAGACAAAACCAATGGATGTTCCTAAACGGAAAGCACCCAAATATCACCGGTGTCCTCGAAAGAAGTAATTTGTCTTATGGGAGGAACTGTAACAGAAAGGAAGGGCTAAAACCTGCTATTTAATAAGACCTCAGAAAGGCAAATTTCTGAATAAAACCTTAAGTAAGTTTGCAGAGGTGTGCTGTGGGCATTGGTCTAGGACAACGTCTGCTTTGACCGAGGTTTTTCACGTAACTGCTGTTTCTCATATGGAACAGGATTGCTAAACTGGAAGATTAAATTTTTGGCATAAGAAATACTTATAGCTTTATTTGACCGCTTCCAGGAATATTATGTAAGCCTATATAAGTTGCCTTAATTCTTTCTCAACCATTCACATCTAAAAATAGGCAAAAAATCAAAGATATTAAAATCTTTTCATACTTCACCCGATATAACACTACATGGAAGATGTTTTGTGTTGTGCTTTCAAATGCTTTCAAGACTTACAGTCTTACTAGAAATCTTGAAAATCATCATCTGATCTACCTTCTGATCAACCAGTTATTGTGGCTCCTGGAGATACAGCAAAGGGAGCGCAGTGCTCCAGCAAGCGGATACACGCTCACAAGTGCGGTGCCGTTACAGGAAGGAGGGGAAAAAGAAAGGATAAACAAGGGAAGCGAAGGCTTCAAGAATCTGGCAGTTCACACAAAGCTTTTTACTAACAACAGGCAGCCAAAATAGGGAGATTAAAAAAAAAAATAATAATCCTACACTACATACAGGTTGAAAGCACAGAAGGATCACTGTGCTGTGTGGAGGCTGGGGTGGGAGCTATGCCGTAAGTGTGCAGTGTTGATGAACCCATATTATTATTATTTAAATTACAACTTACCTTCTCTACAGGTGACACAAATATTTACGTTTACCATAAACCATGCAATTTATCAGCAATATTTGAGTGACTTAAGCAACTTAAATTACCTGGATGAGGTCTTGAAAATGGTCCATCTTTAGCTTGTGTAACTCCAAAACATAAGAAAACCAAAATACTGGCAACAATACCTCTGAAAGTGAAAAACAGAACAAAATGTTTAAATTGCTTCACCTTCCTAATGAAATTGTAAATTATATTCTTTGATGTTAAAAATCTCTGGTCTTTGTTTCTTAACTACTAAACAGGTCAATCATAAATCAATGCCTTTTGGAGCCTGTATTTCAGGGAAGCGGTATAAGTTGTAATACAAGCGTGGTTTCATGATACTCTCTCCAAGTGCACGGTTCACCCGTCCATCCTTCTCCCTCCCTCCCCGCCAACGGCATGCTGCCATTCCCTCCATTTTGCTGCCATTTACTGGTATCCAGCTGGCCAGGCGAGGAGCCTCATTGGGCTGAGAGCTCATTAAGCAAACCCAAAACAAAAGGAGGGGTTCCTTGAGCCACAGGATGAGCCTCAGCCTGCAGATGATCATGAGATGCACGGTAAGTCAAAGGCTTCCCTACGTCTGAGAAGCTTTTATGCCCACTTTGTCAGAAAGACACTTAAAATTTCACAGTGAGAAAGCTCTCACCTTAGAAAGCTTCTCATTGCTCCAGTAAAATTTCAATTAAATTTAAAAGTGAACCGTTGAACTTGTCACCACTGCAAAACACGTTCTTAGTCAATTAAAGACGAGGAGGAGCTTATAAGACCCAACCAGCACTGGTGCTCTTTCAAAAGCTGGACCACTGGCACAGGCCTTGTAAGGGTAATTTTCCCAAAGCTGGAGGTGACCTGAACCTAATTCACCACGGGAACTTGCCGTTTTTCTAAAATCCACTCTCAGCGCTGAACTAAGCCGGAGTTTCAGCTATATTGTTTTCCTTCAAGTTCACCACGGGAAGTTTTGAAGAAAATCACGAATTTGCATAATAACCATGCCCACTCTGTTATCTTTTTTTCCCCGTGGTAACTAAATTTCTCCCCTTATCATGATCACGCTGCCTCCTTACGAGGCTTTCAAAGCCCACCCAGCAGCTGGGCCTGCTGCCTTCCACGGCTGCAGCTCAGAACTTCTCTAGGCTTTGAGAGGGGTTTCTTCAAACTACAGGGACACGGCTCAGAGATTTTCTTGAGCTGCACATCAGGAAGGCACTAAATGGCAAAGCGTGCCTACAAAAATAATTTTAGCACTTCACCAAATACGAAAGGGAGGACACGGCAACAGTTTCATCAGTACAAACAAGCTATCGTTTGTCTAATTTTAAGAGTCGATTCAGAGACAGAAGACAACGAAGCTTGTCTATAAGCATATCGTCCTTTGTTCCGGGCGTTTCAGGAGACAGCTCCCATGCCCCGTCCCTGCCCCGGCTGCACCTACAGCGGCGTGACTGGTACAAGTCCCTCAGCAGTACCACGAGCTGAGAACTGGTAAACTGGCAGATAGAGGTCTGGTGTCCTTCTCACCTTGTGTTCTCTGCGGGTGTTCAGCGACGGGAGCTGGAGACCACCAACTCACAAAGACACGCACCCCTAGACTTGTTGCCACAGCTGAGCAGTGATCAGTCACTGCCAAAAAACGGTGCAGAATGGCACCTTAGAAAAGAGACTGTTTTATGGCTTGAAATTCGGTGTACAACCCTGATGCATACAGGATTTTTTAAACCTGAATATGGTTTTTATATGGAAAATATATATTAACTTTTCTTCCCCCCCAAGAGCCCCTGCTCAGCGTTCAAAGTATTTGGGAGATGGGGATTTTTTCCTCAGACATGGTATGCAAAGGAGGTTGTTGAATATGTATTTATGTACCCTCGGAGCCGGAGCTCGGTCCTGTCAGCTCCTCCTGGGGGCTTAACGGCAGCGGAGAAGCGGACAGTTGTCAGGCAGGATGGACTATTTCAAGGCTGCTCTGAATGCTGTAGGAACTGTGTGAATAAAAGGTCTCATTGATCAGACATCAGCTTGGCAGCACAACATCTCTTTGGCTAACAAAGTAAATTTTCAACCAACAGAGGCGATCTGATCACATCTCTCACGTGATCACATCAACATCTGTGCGTCCGATCCTAATGAACTTTGACTAGATTTACATATAAAACATCTCTGTAAACCTTATCTTAAAAAAAAATTTCCTCCTTTTATTGCCCTAGCATGTTGCAGGAAGGAAAACGGCACTCAAACAGCAGCATGTAAACAGATGCAAATACAAATCTTAGCTGTGGATACCACACCCCATGATCTCATAGGTTCACGCTCCTGTTTTTTCGTCCATCGTTTCTCCTGGTGACTTACTGCACGAATGCCGCCGCTCGCCCTGCCCTGAGCTGCTTCTCTAGGAGGCCGGACCAAGGAAGCGCGTTTACAGGGGAGAAGATGGGCGCTGTGGATGAGTTCCTCTTGTTTAGCTACCCCAGGAAACACAGCAGCAGCAGCGAGCACAGCAATGTGTGTACTTTGCTTCAACTGAACGTTGGGCCCTCAGCACCTAATGGTAGGTCTGGCACCTACAGCGGGCAGCCTGGCCCCTCTCAGCAAGAGCTTGAAAACAAAGGAGGTTTAAGCGTTTGCAAGCATGAATTTAGACTTTGCACCTAAGCACCGAAACACTGCTCCACTGTCGTTGTGCAGTAGTTGGAAATAAAAAAGCATGACAGCTAGAGACGCTGCTCATCGGTAATAAAACTACTGCTGTTCATTAAGCGGGCGAGTGTTCCCGTGAAATATCTGCACGCAGCGACAGCCTCATGCAGGCCAAGATTTTAGACAACACACACAACAGCTCTACATTAAGACTGAAAAAGATCTTGGGATAGGAGAAGGTATTTTAAGTTATGGAAGCAACAACAACAACAAAGTCTGAAAATTTGAGCTATGGATATACTTATGCACGTTGTGACTATCTTGCTCCTGCTCCGAAATGCCTCTTTGTGTCCAATTATACATTTAAAGAGCCACATAAATTCGGTCAGGAACAATGAGATGTAAGAGAGTGGCAGGCACACGGATGCTAAAGGAGCTTAAGAACAACGGCTGGGACATGAATTGAGCTGGAATCCTTCACGCTTACTGGTGCTAAACTTGGCATAGCGCTTACCTCAAAGACCTCAGAAAAGAGATTTAACCGAGACCAGATAGGAGCTCAGGGAAAACTGACTCAGCATCGGGACTGCGCTGAGCACCGCAGACACTTCCACCTGTCCTGCACACGGGGCCAAGGCAGCAGAGGTAAGGCTTAGGAAAGGCCCACAGGACTCGTGCGTTTGTCTGCACTGGTCTTTAGCTTGGGAAAAGTAACGATTGGCCCGAGTTCACTACGAGCTCAGAATCTGGCATGCAGCTTGAACAATTCTGGCGATAGCATAAGGGTGCAGCATCAGTAGAAACAGAGATGTATTCTTCAGAACCAGTTACAAAAACCAATTTGGAAGACCATATACAATTCTCAGGATGCTGCTTTTCACGTATTTCTGCACCTAGATATTGCAGGCAGTATTCCATAAGCAGAGATGCAGAAGTGATCAAAGAACATTCGCTGCTCGTTGCCCGCCAAGATGCTGCTAAATTGCTTTTAGCAACTGGTCACATTATTCCCTGCACTGAATATGCAGAAAGCAACTTCTATTTCATGAAAGAAAGGTTAATCTGCTGATTAATCTTCTTTGGGTTTGTTTTTATTAAAGCAGTGAAGGCTCTAATCTCAATAATAAGATATTCCACTGAGTCACCTTAAATCTGTATTACTCCCTAACGATGCGTCAGCACTTCTCTTTCAGCTTCTCCCCATCTTTATTTTGAACTGCCATTCCAGAGGATGTCAGGCCTCCAGCCCTTCCCTGCACTCACTCGTTATAACCGGGAATAAAACGGCATTTGTTCACCTCAAAGCCTTGCACAAATTTTCCCCACTCCGGTCAGGCCACTGTGTTCCAACTTGTTCCATTTCACCCCCACGCGTAAAAATCCAACCGCTCGGCTCGGCACACGTGTGCTACAGCTATTGTGTAACTGACAGAACAACCACCGAGATTATCTCAGGAAATACCCCAATTCCTGCATCTCCATGACAATGAATACTATATCCTGAGTCACTTAAAAAAGAAAAAAAAAGTAAAAAAAAAAGGAAGAAACCCTTTAATAGCAAGGGGAAGAAAACAGCATTATATTTAAACCACCAGACTGGTAGAAAACAGAATGATTTTCATGCTTATAGCAAGGATGCTTTGCAGTCTGTAAGCACTCCCTTAGTTTTTAAAATACACTTAGATTCTTAAAAGACCACGTTTCTTTTCTCTTTTTGTTCCCTACTGCACTTCTTCAAAAAGAGGGGAAATTCAACTACATTTTATCAGTTTAAATTACAGTTGAAATGGACCACACATGGAAGACTCATCTCATTCTTATTTTCCAAGAGTTTCCCTTTCGGCTACAAGTTCTCATGGTAATTTTCAGCAACAAATAATGATCTGTATTGAAATGTTGAACACAATTTTACAAAAAGCACTTAAGTCAGAAAAGTTTACTCACAGCTCACGTAATTTAGAAAGTTATTTTAAGAAAAAGAGGCAGAATCATTGCCAAAGAGACACAGCTGGTACTTCGACGCTTTAGAAAGAGTTTTGCATTTTGTTTTAAATCACACACACGGCAGCCACCAGGTATGACAGTGAGTGACACTAAACCGATTAGAAATTAAATTCAACGACCAGCATCAAAGGAGCTCAAAGACTTATGCTTGGTTTTGTCACTTTCTAAGGGTTCAGGCATTTAAACAAGTTAATGCAAAGGTCGTTTGAGGTAGCTTATCCACGAGGTAAAAGCGCGTACGGTAACTTGTTCATACAGCTGTACACACCTTACAGAAACGCTTTCTTAAATATTTACCTCTTTGTATTGTAGGCTGTATCTTGTGGCGTTTCTTCAAGCAAGGTTACGTAGCCCAGCGCACACGTGAGGATGAACAAGACTGTCAAGGTATGAGCTCTCCTACAATTCAGGAGAGAGAAAATTGACATCAGAAAGCAGAAAAACTTGTCTCTTCACCTGTCACCGAAGCCTCAGTGAGTCTGATACATAGCAGTTAATAACACTACAGAAGTTTTACGTATTGCACAGCACAGAAAACAGCATTTACAACGGCACTAAATTTAGTTATCAGTCCACTGCGCACTAGTGTGCGACAGAAGCGTACACAAGAACGGGTCTTGCTCGTTTTCCCCCCAGAGCTTTGAGATAAGGAAGATTTGGACAAACACTTGCCAAGTGAACAGCAGCAGCTTGGAAAAAAAAAAAAAGCACCAACTGTGCTAATAGTTAGATGTAAAAGTCTCCAGATTTCCCTCCTGGTTTGTCGAGTCTATACTTGATAGTGCTGCCGCACGGCTCTGTTTCAAAGCCTGTTAACAAAAACTGCAGCAGACTGAAGTGCCTCTCAAGACTAAACAGAAGGGAATTCCCTCCAGACATGGGAATTACACATTGCCAGAAAAACTAGACATTTAAAAATAAATAAATAAATAAAAAATCTCTGAATGAGAACAGCTGCAATTGTCAGAATTATGATACTGCCTCTAGACGCCTTATTTCCAGTAATTCTTACAGTTTCATTTCATCTTAGATCTGAAGAGCAGGTACAGACCGACGGCTAGAGGTTTGCGCCCGCAGAACTCGGCGCAGCCATCTCCACAGGAGGGGTTCCTGCTGGAACAACCGTGTCAGCAAAGCTCCCCGGTAAGGCTTGGCGGTTGCTCCTCTCCGCTGTTAAAGCCTGCGATCTCGGTGGGGGGACACACTGGCACGGGCAGAACACCGCTGCGGCACACGGAGTCACAAGTTCTCGCTCCCCCATCCACGACAGTCCATTGGCTCACACTGATTTTGGTAAAGCACTTGCGTGTCAAAGACAAAAGAGCCCAGCACACACGGCCAGACCCGGGGCTAGAAGAGAACCTGCAGCAGCCGGCTGAGATGCACACACGTACACCTACTGATTACGGCGTATATAATACCCCTACATTGCACTGTCTGCATTTTTTAACTTCAAGTTGAAAATTCCTTTCCTAATGAGAAGCCATTTATTGGTTTCACTGGAAAACTGATCTGACCGCAGCTCAGAAGCGTGGAAAGTCTGGCCGTTTAAGACCAAATCAAAGACACGAGGTTTGTTGTAGAGGACTACACAACATCTCTGAATACAAACGATTAAAATAACACAGTCACATAGCATCAAGCTTAGAGAACAGAAAAGCTGAATGAAAATGACCGTATGCAACAAGTATTTGTACATACTGGCTGGTTTTACATTATGTTGTAATATAAGCTAGCATTACATTTCCCTTTTATGCCAAAAGACCAAAGTTGGTACATATTCAAGTTGCACAGTGCATGATAAACCAGAGGTCACCATGGATTTTTAACAAGTCCACGGACATACCTCTAGACATCAAACCCAGTAATCTACCTAAAATTGCTCTGAAAGTTAGAAGGTAAGCATTATTTTGAACTACAACTTCATCCTAATGCAAAACACAGCCACTTCTCACGGCATCCTTTTAATCCCACTGGAAAACGCATGCAATACCTCATAAGCAGATGCAATCCTCTTCTGCCACCGCTAAAAAGGTGTTCGGCATTTAACGCTATCCTTCCGTGCAGTCCCGAGCACAGGGACTAACCAGCTCCGGGGGGTGAGGGGAGGGGAGAAGGCCCCAGGAGTACTTTCAAAATCAGCAAGGAATCAACGTGTTAAAAAAGAAAAATACGGGAAGGCTTGCACAGCAAGCTGCCTGCTCAACCGACACATCTTCCTTTGACTCGCCTCCCCGGCTGGCAAACAGCAGGTGATTCAGACATCCCACACTCGACGTTCAGCCAACACTCACCTGACTCGGGGCCTGTTTTGTAACCTACAGTAGTTTAAAAACCTAAATACAGTCCTCTCACAGGAGGCAGCGCAGCAGGGGACTGAATTAAATACTCTAATTCACTTAAATCAGACCATGGTCTTGCTGCCTGCATTCATCTATGTATATAATTAATACAAACCCAACCTACATTTTGATCATAGAAAGAGGTGGTTAACTGCAAAGCTACGCATTGTATTTTCTGCCTTGGTTTATTGTTTACTTTTTTGAAACTACTATCTAAGAGGCTACTAAAATAAACCCAGAAGTGCCGTCTTCCATCTTACCATTTCACCATCTGAACATCTCCATGAAGTCAATTACTTTTTCAATGCGTTGATTTTTTTCGTGTAAATTGCCAAAGAGTCAGTTATTAGCATGTCCTCATTTAGATAAAACCACCTAGAAACTCCTCTGCTAGGACAAGGCCGGTCTAGTTTCATTCACCCAGGGAGTCTGTAGCAAACAGTCGGTGTTTGAGAGCTCCACAGGCAAACCTGCTTTCCGTCGATTTTGGGTGCTGCGACCATCAACGTGAAGTTCAACAGCCCCCTGTTTAACCACAGGAAGAGGCTGCGGATCTCATCCTTCCCCTTGGAGCTCGCTTTCCGCCTCCGACTGAAGCCAGATTCTCTTGTAGCAAGTCTGCAAGATGGTTAGTCGTGTAAACATGTTTTCAGTCTAGCATGAAAGCCAGGAACCAGGATGAAAGGCTTTCTGGATTGGTTTGTCTCCTGGGAAGAGCAGGTTGACAGCTTTAACCAGCAAATTGCAAGTAGTGCCAAAGGGATGGCAGCCGCCAGAGGCAGCAGAGTATCACCAAACCTACCTGTCAGCGCAAAGGGAAAACAAGCAAGAAAACACAGCTACACACCGTATCCTTCCATAGTTTGGGAGTTAAAAAAAATAAAATAGAAACCCACAGTCATATGGAACAAGACAAAATGTGAAGGATTTACAGTAGCCAGAAAAATGAACAGCATACAGAAGAAGCACTTGTATGAGCGAAGTCAGCCCGGATGAATTAAACTGCACAACGAGGGATTATTTTAGTCTCCACATACACTTGAAAATACTACAGCAAGAGGGAGAGGACGCAGCTAAGCAGGTGCCCAGCAAGGTAAGCGTCACAGGCGCTACGCAGAAAGGCTTATGTTCCCGCAGGCGGGAGTCTGGGAGAGCGCCGCCAGGCGAGCGAAGCAGCGCAGGCACCTTCCCCTCGAATGACACGCCGGCTTGGCCAGGCACCAGCAGCAAGCGGCTACGGGCTCCAGCCAGTTCCCGGAGGTTTTATGTCACAAACCCTGAGACAGCAGCGCCTAAGAGTATACGCACACAAAAATCCGTCAGGCCAGGAAGGTGAAAGACAATTCACAGCAAATCCCAAACCACTAAAAGCGGGAACATTAAGTAGCTCATCTGTCTGCACTAGCATTTTTCTGACTTTCTGTACCTTACGTCCTTTTTTTCTGTTTAAACACTGGGGCACTTAAGTGAAATAATTCAAGTTTTGCTTTTATAAAAATACTTGCCCTGCTAACCCAGTTAAACGCCCAGCGAGGGCAGTTTGGCACTCCAGCAGGCAGCGCAGTCCCTACACCGCCCCGCGCTGCGGCTCCCAGAGCGAGGGCTTTCCCAGTGACTGCGATTAACTTCGGGTCCAGCTTCTCTTTCTCTTCTGTCACATTTAGAAACGGCAGGTTTTTCAAGGAAATTACTATCAGAGCTTTTATTTTCCAAATAAAGCATACACAAAAACGACCTACAGAAGGGTGTATCTGTTTTGGGGGGAGCCCAGGAGGGGTCGGCTCACGGGAGGGACGGGGGCAGCGATACCCGGGAAGAACAGGAGGCGACGACCTCGTTCCATCTCCAGTACAACCGAAAATCAGCTCAATGGCTGCGACCGCACCCTTATTATCCACTGCCATGCACCGGTGTTCTTGTTTGTCATAAATGATGCAACAGCTACAGTAAAAACAATAACAATCATTGAGAACAACCTGCGAAGGATTGACTTACTAATCTTTGAGTATTTTTTTATTAATCTTTGTGTCAATTCTCTAAGCGAAACGAAACTCCAAAGAACAGCCAGTTTGGTTTGCTGTCTTGGTTTAAAAAGTTACATTAATAGCTACTGCTAGAGAAAGAATCTGTCAACAAAACCAACTCCTCCCATCTTAGCCTATCATCGACTCTTTCACAAAGAAATAATCCTTTTCTTGATTCCGAGTAACGCTAAAGTCATGAAAGCATTTCAAAAAGAGATTTTAAAAGAACGTCAAAGCTCTCTGCCCTCCGTACACCAACTGATCACCTGACACATGCCGGGAATTCTAAGAAAATATGACAAATAGGCAGTACAACAAATCTATTACTTCAGCAGTACAGTTGTGAAGAGTAAGGTACAGGATAGTTATCGTGATGAATAAGGTACAGGAAAATACAACAATTAATAGCCATTTAAAACTGACCGATATTCTTACATTCAAAATCAAAATCATAATGAACAGGGAAAGAATCCTGTTTGGACAGAGAGAGGTTTTTGAAACCTTCAGCAAAAATTCAACCTTGGTCACAATCTCAGTAATACATCCAAAATTAGAGACGTGAAACCGAGACGTTCCCGTTGCAGAGGGCCAACGCAAGCGGTCAGGCCTCAGCACTGCAGAAGTATGAGGTGAACCGCCAGTGTGTGACACGAGATCGCTCTCACCCACCCAGATCACACAAAAGTAATCCGTGGCAACCAACCCAAGGTACGTGACACTGCCTGGAAGCTGCAAGCACCCACACCTCTAACGCAACACAAACGTGGCTGTCGGTTTGAAGCGCAGGCTGCCGTTTAAAATCTGTTTAAACCCCAAGAGATAATAAAAAAAAGTGCCTATTCTTAGATCAGTAACAAGTCTTCAGCACATCTATAAAGGTACACAACGCTGATTAAATTTCTGTACATACTTGTGACACTCCAAAATAGCAACGTTCGTTTTCCTTGCCATAAGTTGGTGCCTCTCATAAAACGATCACTCAGTAAGAGAAGTACAAAGGCAAATACGCGGCAGAGAAAGCAGCCCAACGGATTAGAGAGCAACGCACGCTTCAGCAAATTAGTTGTTTTCCTTTGAATGAAAAGAGAGAAAAGACAAAGTCTCCGTTCATCAGTTCTACAGAGGTCACAAGTTAATCAAAGTTCCCAAAATGACCTATTTTAAATATTAAACATTTTTATATGTTTAAACCTATTGAAATCTTTGTTTCAAGTTTTAAACAGTTCCACTGAGACAGTGTGACTGCGATACAGATAGCACACCCCCTAAGCAGGTCTTTTTAAAAAGGCCAATAAAGGGGAACAGGGGAAGGTGCCCTTATGCCAGGTCTAACCATGTAAAAGCCCAGCGCTAATTTTTCGGGTTGTTGCTTTGTTTTGTGAACTGCTGTACGAGCCCTGTCACAGCGCTCTGACGAGCCCGAGCTCCGCCACCAATGGGGCCTACACCAGTAGCTCCACACCAGTAGCCTGACCCGAGATTTCTCTGCTCAAGTTAAGCGATACGCTTAAACTCGGCCAATTCCGACCAGGCAGAGATCGGAGGCACGGATCAGCAAATACAGAACCTCACCAGGGCCCGCTTTAAGGGGGCAAGCTTTCATAGGATGAAATACTCCAAATCCAGCACGCGTTAAGTTTCCAACAAGCTTGAGGAACGTTGACTCACAAGTGCTGCAGCCAGCCCTCACCAGAGGGCACACAAAAAAGTTCCTGCCAATTTGCAGATCTTCCATCTCCCTAATCTCTCTTTCAGATAAACCCCCACCTCTTCCTCCAGACAGCCTCTTAGAAAAGCCACGCTGCTGTGAGGTTACTTCTGTCGAGATAAGAACCACGTGCAAGGAGCGGCTAAGTCATACTTTGTTTTGAATACCAGCCCTGTGCTTCCAAAACTGGCTGGTGTGCGCACACGTATCCCCTTTCAGAAGAGCTGTCCCTGTGCCGGCTGTCGGGAAAGACTTAGAACAGAACAAAACGAGAGGAACATCCAGGCAGGCTGCCTTTCCCTCACCTGCAATTTCTATGCTTTTTGCACCAAACAGGTTGAATTCATCCCTACGAAATATGTATTAGCCCATAGAGTCTTCTACTCACCATTTCCCTCTTTTTTTTTTTTTCTTTCTTCTTTTCTTTTTAAACTTCTTGAGCTCCACAGATATCTGCTGCACACTATGACCTTAGTAACTAACATCCTAGCCACATGATGGCAATATACAACTATTTAGCTCGAGAGGGAAAAAAAAAAAATAAATCAATACCCAACAGAGGACATTAAAGCTAATTAAATTCAAATTAAAGTAAGGCTTAGTAGAAGCAATTAGCCCATGGAGTCACAATGTAACGTGGCAGCAAAGATGTATCTGGCACCTCACAACATCTTCAAATCAAGATTGGATGCCTTCCTGGGAGATAAGCTTTGGTTAAATACAAGCTATGGAACATATAGCATATTGGTGGTAACACTGAAATTTTAGAGGAAAATCATACACAATTTCTAACTACATGATCCCAAACAGGTGATCCAAGACCAAGCTGGGCTGGCATGAAAATACTCAACATCAGAGCACCTTCTGCTGCTTGTCACTGGCTGCTAGGACGGGGAGGAAGCTTCTCTCCTTCTGCCTTCAAAAAAGTTGCTGCACACCTCCATGCTTATTATTTATTTATTACTTATTTTAGTTAGTGAGATAAATCAATCTACTATTTCCCTGAGCTTTTTTGCTCCCCCACAGAAGGACACCCATCCATCTCCTCTCTTTCCTGCTTCAAGTATGTTCAGGCGTCTGTCGCGGTCACTGCTCACTGACAACAAACCCCAGCTTCTGCTGGGTCCACCTTTCCCCGTACAGAGCACGGTCCCAGCAGCACACACCTGTAACACATCAGCACTCACTCTGCTGCAGGTTACAGAAAGGACGCCACAGAGATGGAGAAAGCTCTATGTGGGTATATTAAAAAAAAAAAAAAAAACACAAAAAAACCCACAAACCCCAAACAAACCCGGTGGTTTGTCCATGCTAACTCGGGAAAAATATCAGGGCTACGGTGCTTCACACTGTACAAAAACTAAAAGTCAATATCTCAGTCACAAAGAGATCCTTTGTTTGTATTCAGAAAGCTCATTCTGTAAGCAGAGGGGCAAGAAACAATCACAGGTACTGGAAACAACAGTGCACACGCTTGCCTAGAGCAGCGGCTCGCCAGGCAGGGCTGACATTTCCAGCTCTCTGCGAGCACTAATAGATGTTTTGAAATTAGTTCAGGGATAAAAGGTACAGAGACCGTCAATCCGCTCCATAAAGCCGCTTCCCATCCCCGTTCCTTGACATTTCCCAATGACAACGAGAGCTGTCAAGGTACTGACTCAGCAGGTTCCCACAACGTAACTAAAATATAGTATTTTCCGGATTCAAGTTAAGACTGAATAAGAATAGAAGTATTATACAGTATATGACTTTTTTTCCCCCAAAGTTTTAAAAAGATTTTAACAGAGCAGGCAGACAGCTAGAAAGTACCACCTTTCCCAAGGATCGCATTTACAGCAGTAAAATTCCCTTTGCAAACTGAACTACTTTGATTCTAGAATAATTTCTGACTGTGTCTACGAGTCCCAAATTCTTGACTTTTTCCAAACCGAGCAGGCCATCTGGGTGACCACGTCCACTAGCTCCTGAACTTCAAGGAGAAAAGGTACTTCCCAAACTTTTCCACATTGGCAGAGAGAGAGGACACCTACTCTCTTAAATTTCCACTTTCTATGACCACCTCCATAACAGGCAGCGCAAGAAGAGTACCACCGGTCACAGGAAGAAAATCGTTCCTCTGTATAATCTTTATTCTCAGCCACTGTAAGAACGGAGTCACTCCCAAAGGGCACGCTGCTAACACACTCAACGCTGTCATGCACAGGTCAGAAGTAACAGTAGGAAAAACCTTGAAACTTTTACAAGCATTTAAACTGCTGGCTGCCAGCACAAGCAACACACACCACTACGGAAAATAAAATTAAATAAATATGTAAGTTAAGGAACAGTTTGACTGCCCTCTTGGACAGAACTAGCTGACAAAGGTGAAGCTCCTTAAAGAACGGTGGCACTTTCAGACTTTCCAAAGAACAATTCATGTGGACAAATTAATGGCGATTACAGCCTTTGTTTCAAGATGACAATCCTGTGCGGGGGCAGAGCGCGTGCTGGCCCCTCACCCCCACCCCAGGAAAAAGGTACAACAAGGTGAGATTGTACAATAAAAAAAGCAATAGGTGTTTATAAGGCATCACAAAACGCCTGGCGAGAGCTGCCATAAGCAGACAGTAAGAAAATGACGGCTTTACCCATTTTCCATTTATAAGACGGCACTACTCCGCAGACCTCGGCAGGATCCAGTTATTCAATCGCTCGCTCAGCCTACATGTGGCAACGCCAGCGTGCTCTCCAAGAAAGCGCCTCTTGCCCTCACGACGACGATGTCCTTCGGCTACACTTGCCTGTGTCAGGCTTCTGCAGCGATCCAGCAGCATCTAAGCCTTTCTTTGCTGTTTGTACTGGCAGAAATATCACCTAGAATCAGCGGCTTCATCAAGATCAACACCCTTCGCTCCACTGCTGCCCAGACTGGCAGGGTGAGAGCCGAGCGCCCTCCCCCTCCTACTCCTTAATGTCAAACTCGAGCCAAAGCATATCGCCCTCAGCTCGTATTCCCAACAAGGGACTTCAGGGTCAGCTTGGTTTCCTTAAGCAACAAGGACGTGCGTTCAACGCACGCAGAAAAACTACAGACGTACACACTCATGCTGAAGTGGAATTCTGGAACAACTCCAGCAGAGAGAGGATTTAGAAGCGCTTTTCTAGGTACAAACCCACCTCTTCCTGCGAGGATTGAGTTTAATAAAAACACCCCGACTACTTGCCCCACTGGCCTGACACACTCAGTCATGGTTCTCTGCACCAATTTTCCGGACTGAGCATGCCACAAACCACGTGAAATTATGGTTTAATGGTGAACTTGGCAGTTAACGGTTGGACTTGACGATCTTGAAGGTCTTTTCCAACCTAAAAGACTCTATGAATCCATTCTGTGGAACACCTGAGCGGCAGAACGCGGGCGTAACAGCTTTGGCTTTCCACCGGGGCTCCGGGAACGGGAACGGGCAGAAAGGCCTCTTCCCGGACTGCGGGAGGGGAAGAAGCGGGAGTTCGTGCGAGCGCTGCTGACAGGGCACCGGGAACCGGGCACCGGGCCGGAGCGTGTGCCGGGGCGGCGGGTCCCCAGGGCCGGGGCACACG